CCAATAAACTTCACTGAGCCAGATAACTAGATATATATCTCAATGTAATTACGGGTAATTACATGAAAGGAGCAATTTAGAGATGCCTAATTTCTAAACTGTATACTTCAAGGTTTCGAGTAACTGGATATTTAATTATTTTTCTAACAGGTATGCATGAAAAAAATCAAATTGAAAAACATAGGCATACAACATTATTCTTATTTAAAAATAAACATTTCCTTCATTTGTTTATACATTCTTTCTATGTCAAGGAAAAAGAATAAGCTTTTGATCTTCAATGATATTCCTGTCCATAAAGGGGCACACCAAGTCCCATTTTCACTGCTATCCAATCATGGAGAGCTCTTCAAGGATGCTTTTTTATCTTCAGCAGGAAGGCTGTGCCTCCCTCAATTCTGGAAATGATCTATTATCCTCATAGAGGCCTCTACTTAGTTTAGCTCATCTAGTTTTAGCTGGCATGGGAGTATTTAAAGGAAGAAGGAAGGCTGAAAAGCTCAGACTTTGCCTCTGATGCCTTTCAAAGGGCTGCTCTCACATGGCTGGGGTCAGAGCTTGACCTCCAAAGTGCAGTGTTTTGCAAACTGTTGTAGCTGTTCAGCTCCTTCCCCCCCCCCCCCTTAAAGTGCAAATGTGAGGAAGAAGAAACAAAAGTACTAGATAGAGAAACAAGCAAATGGACTTGGAATTTTATTTATACAAATCTTATTAACTGTTTCCCTTCCGATCGTGGAAAATGGCACTCAAGAAAGAGGACCACAGTGGGGTTTTCTGTGCCCACCTGTTTTCAAAAGGGTGATTTTCGAAAACTGCTTTCCACGTGAGGAAAAATATATATATACTTCAGTGAGTAAGGACATACATATACAGAGGGTGACCGTGAGGCATGTTGTCATGTCAGTGCAGGGCCCTTTATTTAGTTTATGAACAATACTCTAAAGTTAGTGAGGAACTACACTTTGTTTTGTTTTTTAATCTAGGAAGCCAAGGAAAACCAACTGAACATATTTCATTGGCTGCATCCTTCAATTCAAACATCAGCGAGAAAGAAAGGTAAGTAGCCAGGGTCAAATTGTGCCTAGCTTGTCAGCATACTTATTTCTGATTATCTGAAAATAAACAACATGCTTAATCTACAAAGACAGAGGACCTGTTGAAAGCTTACAGCAACGCACAAGTCTACTCAGAATGATTCCATATGTTACACTGTAGGATTGCTGTGTAGTTAGTTATACAAGGGAGAGAGATCAAAACCCTGTACAGACACCTGATATCAGACTTGAAACGCCAAGTGGAAACAGAACTAGTCAGCATCTTCATTTATACACAATTTACAATATTTGATTCAAAATAAAAATCACAAGAAAAATACATCTGTTTCTGCTACAATTCCTTCCCCTCCCCCATCCACCCCCCAGTGAAAAGTCTTCTAATAAAAGGTATCATATTACCACCATTGTCTTGTTTTGGTCTAATTCTGAGATCCCGGCTTGGGATAGTTAACACGAAAAGGAATGGCAATGCTTGGGATGTATGTAACGGTACATATTTTATCCAAGGATCTCAAGTACTTGCAGTCACGTCTCCAGATCTGAGAATCACGATTCAATGGAAGCCAGAGTGCTGGACGGATGCTGGGCAGGTTGCATGGGGTGTAAAATCCCTTGGCTAAGTCAAGGTCAAAGTTGGTTGGCTAGAGCTGGGCTCACTTTCTCTTTTCAAGCATATCCCATCAGTCTGTCAATTTTACCCTCTCTTAAACCACACACCCATCTCCGGGCTACCACCTAGAGTTAAGACCAACTGAAGAAGCCACGTCTTCATAATAATGCAGCAGGATAAAAAGCAAAAACAGAGAAACACATTCATCAGCATCTGGCCAAAGGAGACAGGGGCTGGGAGGATTGACTCGGGACGCCATTCCTAGCAAGAATGAGGCAAAGGTGTCAATTCACTAGTTTCAGTTACAGTTAAGCTTTTGGTGGAGTCGATTCCGGCAGAGGTGAAGCTCATGGCATCTAGTGCTTGATTTAAGATAATGCTGTTGAAGAAGGGTAATGAGAAAACACAGCAAACTAACAGGGAGGAGCTGGCCAAGGAGTATCTGGAGGGCCAAAGTGATTTTCTTTCCTTATCATTTCTACAGGAGAAGGCAAGGGGTAGGAGATAAGGGCTAGAGGGTCCCTTATTTGCAGATTTTTAAAAAAATCATTTTTCTTATAATTCCGTAACGAAAGTGTGTATTACGATATGAAGGTTACAGAACTGCATCTGCTACTGGGTCACGGCTACAGGTCTATGAGCTGATCCACCAGCAGTAAAGACCTGGCTAGGTTGGGAAGACTGGACTCAGAGCTCCCACTGCTGTTTCTAGAGTGCCCACCTGGAAGTGGAGAGATAGGAATTCAGTACAAAACACAGAGGGTTACGGTTTAGATGTGCAGAGCAAGCAAAGGAGAAAAAACCAAAACAAAACCCTAGAGAAGCAACAATTTACATTTGCAAACTCTTACATGTTGATTTTTAAACATATAAAGTAGATTATCACCACCTCCCACCAAAAGTTCAGGTACTGTGTGCACACCATTCTATAATCAGGACAGCTTGCAAAGAGGATGCGATTTTCAAAAGAACATATACGCGTATTTTGCCTGAGAACTGCTGGCTATATGCTAACGTCTTGATAACATTGAATCATCTCCCTGATAAAATACAAATCAATAACTTTTTCTTTGGGGAGAAGTTAGTTAAGACCACTGCCATAAAAACATGCTTTAAAAAAATATGTAGATGGTACTATGCAATTCAGTGTTTTGTTAGCATGTTCAAATGATTTTAATCCATCAAAGAGGAAAAAGTATGCTCCACAAATGTCCAAAAGATGCAAATATCAAAGCACCATTGTTAAATCTCTTCGGGAAGAATATTTATTACAGATTGTTCTAATCATGATTTAAAAAATGTTCAGTGCTGTTTTTTTTTCTTTTTTTGATACAAGCCTTCAGGTTTCCACTGACTGAAGATCACTTTATTTTTGGCTTGATAGTTATAAAAACCAGCTTTTAGTCAAACTATTAAATACTTTTCTTCTCTCTAAAGAAACACCATGGTCAGGCTTTAAAATACTTGTATCAGTATCTCTGGTTTGAATTGCTATCTAAACTGGTCCCGCCCACAATGATTGTCATTACCCTTAATTTCCTTCATTAAATGTTGCTTTTTTCCCCCTTGTAGATTAGATACACTACTATTTTGTAGAGAGCTGATATCACACTCCTCTTTTCTCCATCCTCTCTTTCTTACCTTGTGGGTTTTTGGTTATCAATACAGGAATAGGGTCAAACTCATCTTCTGCCACCTTGTCCGAGCCCTCAGGGACATCAAAACCTGAGATGAGATTACTATCTTCTGCAGCTTAACACAGAACGCAAGTACACAAGCAGAAACAACAGAGGCAGAGATTAGCAAATGAGAGGACATGTCAGAGGCACAAAGTTCCCAATTGTACAATCACTGCAGTTTTTAAAGATGAAAATACTTATTTTCCTGAGTTGAAACAAAAGTAGCAAAGTCGGCAAACTTAGGGAAATAGAAAAAAATGCTTTAGAGCAGGCCGTGTTAAGACTTTTATAAATGATTAGGGAAAGGAGCAAAAGGATGAAGTCTCTCTACCATTATAAGAACATTAATTGTAGTTATTTCTTCAACATCAGTAATTCACAAAGGCACGGGAATTAGTCATTTATTTATTGAGCAAACAGAGGCCTGACTAACAATACTTAAAAAAACTCAAAACCAGGGGCAGGGATAGGTAACGTCACTCTTTAGGAAGCAAATGCTATATACAAAGCAAACAAAATGCTTCCAGAAGGACTCACTGTCCTGCAAAAGTGGAAAGGCTTTCAGACAACTCTGATGCCTCAGGGAATGTGGGGGCACAAGGTCGCATGCACTGAGAGTTCAAGCACAAGTTGGCCAGAGCTTTTTTCTCCCTTCCGATTAAGGCGATCCAACCAGCAAATGCAAGCGGAGCACCTGTTTTGCACGTCCTGCTCCTCTTTAATTACACATTGCTGCTGACACACTCCTGCCAGACATACTTGGTTCAACAGGTTAACTTCTTTCTACATGCTCTATAAAAACACAATAATTTTAATGCTATAAGGGGTAAAAACAAAAGCTCAGCTATTACCACTGCAAACTACAGGCTAATTAGCTTTTCATCATTGTTGAGGCTTCCTTCATGAATTTCCTTCAGAAACAACTTAATCCGTTCCTTTTCTATGTATTTGCTCTTTCCAGAAAACCACTATCACTACCCAAGTGCTGAAAGAAGTTTAGTGAACGCCTGCGTACAGTAAGCCAGGCATTGTGTCTATCACTTTCACAAACTACTCACTGAACAGGACTCAATTCAAGCTACCTCTGTCCAGCAGAATTTCAAACCATATTAACTAAGACTAAGACACGAAAACGGTAGATTAGAAAGAGAAATCCAGTCATCAATCATGACTCACAGCTTAACCAAAATTCAAAACTTTCATAAATTCAATCTCTGAGGACTGACGTTTGAGGAATGATGCCTGTTTATCACTATCCAAAAACTTTACACCAGATTTGATGAAACAGTTTTGATTTCTAAGGCCAACCAGTATCATATTAATAATTCGAGTCAGTCAGTGGCTAGTCAGCTCAGCCATGTCCTTGAGCTGACTGCAAAGGTACGCAGCTTTGTCTTTACTAGAGCACATGGATTATCTGTGTGCCAGGTGACTGCCAGGAAGCAGTACCTCCACCAACCTGTTGTCTAAGTCTTATTAAATATTCTCACTGAGAGGGACTGTAACACAGTGGCTAAGAATACACACTCGGGTTTTCCACTTGAGGGGGTGGTTAAAACACTTCACTGGCAAAGACTTGTGGGAAGGAAAAACCTCAGGAGTTGTTTACTCTTCCTCTAAGGATACGTGTGGGCCCGACAAGAGGAAAGCATTTACCTTTATGGGCTGGAGCAGAGATCGCTATGGGGGCAAATTCTTCCAGAAGGTCAGTAGTAGGGTTAGAGAGCAGAGAGCAATCGATTAGGGAGTCTTCCCCCGTGAGAGAGTCTGAGTCCAGATTAACAGCATCCCGGGTGAGTGGTGGCATTAAATAGCACAGACAACAATATCATGAGATTAGATCTTAGCCTTTAAGTCACTGTGTTTACATGTTATACATATAAGCCAAGGCAGGAAAAGAAAACCAAAAGAAACATGTTAAGCACTCTGGATTTCATCTGTAGAAACATGCATTTCTAGGTTTCTTCTTAACACTAATACATAAATATTAAAGAATTTTTTTTTTGCTCAGAGGTTGCTGGTTAAGCGAGTATGTGATTTGGATGCCAATAAAACTTTAACAATTCAGTTCTCAGCAAACGCCATTTGAGAAAAAGGACTTTGCAACTAAAGAGTTTCACTTCAACTTTCCCTAAACATTCATGGAAAAAGTTACTATAAGATGAGATATCCAAGCTGACAAGAAGGGGGTTGTCCCTGGCTTATTATTAGAGAATATGACATGATTAAACAGTACTTTCTAGAACTCAACCAGATTCCCATTCAAAATAGAATGATCTTGCCTCTTACTACTGTCTTTAAATTTGAACTGCTCCTTTGAACATATAATTTTGCTTTTAGTTAAAGAACAGAAGGAAGACAAAGTTCAGAGGTCAAGTATTTTAACCCATGAATTACTTTCTGGAAGTTTTCTAGGAGAAAATAACCAAGTAAGCACAAGGAAAAGAAACCACATTGTCTTCTGTGTTCATTTTCTTTTTACCTGGATGAGTTACTCTTCAAACTTCCTAGACTTCTAATTGTTTCTGTTCCAAATTAGGAAATCAGAGACTTTTATCGAGGTAATTATGGACTCAACGAAAACAAAGGTTATCAAATCTGTATTTATGGGCAGTTAAGGAATTCTACTAAGAGTGAACTTTGATATTAGGCTGAAAGCAATGCTGGAACCAGGGAAGACTGCAACTTTGCCCACGATTTAACAGTAAATCACCTACCTATGTATGATTAAAGCACGGTGCTGGCAACAGAAAGTCCACATAGAACATGAGCTCCACGGATATCACTGACATTGTCAGATAATCTGGGAAAGACTGCTCAGGAACTGGGAGAGGTTAAGGGCATCCTTACAGCTCAGCAGCGTTCTTTAAGGAAGTGGAGGGAACTTGCTACCAATGAAAAAAATCTTGAATAAAGACTAACCAGAGGAAGCCCAAGGATCCCTCTACAAAGAATATGGCTCCAAAAGGTACTGTTTTTTAGCGAGGAAACACATCGCTCAGCATCTGGAACCGGGGGCTGTGACAATTCAGAGCATCCCATCTCGGAGGAACTAACCAGGCTGCAAAAACAAGCCCAGGGCCATGTGCGGTGGGTGGAAAGCTGGCTCTGGGGGCTCACCACCTTGACCAGTCCCTGCAGCTGCGAAGACTCCTGACTGACCTGTGCGGTTGGAGGTCACAGATTCCGTCTGAGATGGGAGGCGCTGGGGCACCGGGGGCTCCAGTCCTGGTATAAGACTCTCAACAGCAACATCAGCTTTTTCTTTTGTAACAGAGCATGAAGAGAGGAGAATAAACGGTAAGGGAAAGGCAGTCAGAGGTTCTCTGGACAATTCTGTGCAGGCTTTCTTGTACAGGTCTCTAAGATGCCAGTTTCAAGCAAGATGGGAAGCACAGTAAGTTACTGTATTTCTGCCGCTTTGAGTGTCTGGGCTTCACCGATTGAGCACGTCTGTGCAAGGGTAACCCTTGTGACTAGTCTCGGTGAATCTCAGTGTTTACAAGTGAATGCGGAATGATAGCCACCAAGGTGATCTCTTCCACGTCAGAAGACATAGGCTGAAAGGCACCTTAATAGCTTCTGGTAATTTTGCTTTTCTTAAAGAATAAACTTGGGGGCCTTTCATATCCACTGTGCCTTGCAAAGGCCAGTAGTCCACCTCAAATCCCACCCCATGAAGTACCTGGGAGGTATTCTGTACTGTGTGACATCCCCCAGCTAGAGGCCCATCTCTCTGTGGGGTCATGGCCTTTCTGAATGCTAGGACAGTGTGCCCCTGGAGTACAGGGGCCTGGACATTTTGTAGGTTTCGCCTGTATTGTGGTTGGAGCACAGGGAAAAGTCAGGGCAAGCAGACTGAGCCCTGCCCTGAGTCTACTCCTGGCGCTTCACCACCGAGAGTGTGTTTTCTCTGTCACTGATACTCGGCACATAGAGAGGCCTAATCAAGAAGAATCTGCCAAAGGTAAGGTCCAGCTCGAAACCAACTTTTTTCATGAAGCTTTTGTAACTAAATGTGAATTTTCCCACAATTCTCCTCATTCATAAGAAATCACTTTAGAAATCTGGGGATATCAAGAAAGGAAAAATAACAGTGTTGTACTGCTGGAAGACAGAGAAAACACTTCATTTGGGGTGCTAACAAGGGAGATTAAATAGCCTTGGCTTCTGGGTTAGCAGGAAGCATCGCTCCAACACCAGCAGGCTCGGTGGCATTTCCACACCTCCTTGGGGCTAATCACTGGGGACCTGTTAACTGGTTACTTATCATTCTTGAAATAGATACACACATCATGCACGACTGAAGAAACAGAGATGATGACTTTACCAGTTACAGCATCGGAAGTGCTACCGAAAGGATCTGTCATAGGTAAGAGGTCGGGGAGCAGAAGAGAAGTGTCAGGAGATTTGAGTCCCTCGATTAGTTTCTCTAGGGTGGGCAGAGAGGTAAAGAGAAAGCAAAAATGCAATGATATATTAAAATAAGCTGATCATTTACTGTTTTCTATGCAAATACATTCTAGGGATCAAAATACATTTCAGGGATTCATCATTAAAATGAATAATGTTAGCGTCTTGTTAGAAATAGGCTTTCAATGTGTGCAGTTTAAGAATGATTATTTCCCCAATTGAAGTAGTCACCTTGTGAAGCATTCAAGATGCTGGTCTGGTTTTGTTTGTTTTTATTTTTATTATTATTTTTAATTTTTTATTTAAGAGTTTATTTGAAACAGACTGACATATGCTGGGGAGCAAGATCTCAAATGCCCCCGTTTGCTTTTAAATTTGAGGTATAATTTACACTGAATAAAAGGCACCAATTTTAAGTGTACAATTTGTTGAGTTTTAACAAATGTCCACATTCATATAAGCACCAGTGAAATAATGATGGAGAATACTTCCATCACCCTCCAAAATGCCCTGTGTCCCTTTCCAATCAATGCCTTCCTCTCACCCCGAGACCCTGGCAACAACTGATCTGCTTTCTGTTCGTCCAGTTTTCCTGATCCAGGGTTTCCTGTCAATGGAACCATACAATACAGTATGGAGTCCTTTCTGTCCGGTATCCTTCATTTACCATAATGCTTTGTGGAGATTCCTCCGTGTTGTGGCATGTATCAGTAGTTTGTTCTGTTTTATTGCTGAGTAGAGTTCCACTGTATGAATTTACATTGTATTGATTCATTCACCAGTTGATGGACATTTGGTTGTTTCCAGTTTTTAGCTATTAAAAATAAAGCTGCCATAAACATATGCATGTAAGGCTTTCTGTATTAGTTTTGATCTTTTATTTTTTTTACTTGCATTTAGAAATGGTTTATAACTCACCCAGAGAATATACTAAACCATATGTGAACAATCATTTATTGTCTGCCAACTGAGAATCTGTGACATGCTGGTTCTCTTATTATTCTAAGGTCAAAGCTCACAAAAGTCACTTAAGCCTGCTGATAGCTAAAAGATATCAAAAGTAATCTAAGAAACAAAAGGCCTTCGGAACCGGATTTGTCACACCTGATAAGTTAATGTGTGATAATGTATACATAGTAAGATTCCTTCCAAAACAATTCCTTTAGCCCTAATCTATTAACAACTCTCCATTTACTTTTAACTTATTAAAGGTAGAGCATTAATTTGAAACAAAATAATGAATCAGAGAATCCTACAGAAAGAAGGGGGTTAAGAGCGCATATTTCCTTTTACTTACAAGGAGACTGGGATCACATAAAATTCAGCAACTTGCCAAATTAAAGGCCTGTCAACAAAGTTTTTTTTTTCTATCACAGAAATAAAATGCCATTAAGATAAAATTAAAATTAAAATGTTTGAGAAAAAGATGCGACTGAGGTTCAAGCATGTGTATATACGTAACATTTTAAAGAATCTGTATTTTGTTTTTGGTTTTTTTTTTTTAGCTGAGCCATCCTGCCACCTGTTGGCAGCTCAGCGGCTGCTCAGCTCGGGCTGGACTCGAACCGCTGTTGCTCAGAGCTCAAACTCTTGAGCGAGCTCTTAACCAACTGAGCCACTCGGCCGGCCCTAAGAATCTGTATTTTTATAGGCCATCAGGAATTGAAAAAAGTAAAGGCAAAAGTGATATTCATTGAGGATAGAAACCAAATTTTAGGCGATCTGTAATTTTTAACTACACAGATGAAACAAAATAATGGATGTTAGTGTCTTGGCAAGATGATTTGCTTTGGTACAATTAACACACTGCAGAAAAAGACATTTTAATATGTGTAACCAATTTATCATCTTTGGAGTACATAGCATGAAGATACCTTTGAATTAAATGCTACATTTCTCATTTACACCTGATTTATATTGAAGAAAAAAGGAAAAAGAAGCATCTCAACAGCAGGGAGAAAAACGCAATGTACTAATCAAGTGTACAGCGTAATTACACTAGCATTAATCTGGTGCTGTAAATAATCTTTGACAATTTTTAGCATACTGGCAAAAATTAAGAGAGTTTCCCCCAAGAGTCTCATTTTTCATTATTTTGAATACTAGTTTTTGTTTTATTCCCCCCAAAAGCTTCTCTCACTTGAAAAAAAAATAATTATTTGCTTCTTTCACTTTTAGCAGTCACATATTTGTAATTCTATGAAGCAATGGATAGAAAGTAAAGACCCCAATTACTTGCTTGACTTTCATCCAGCTGTTTATTTTGGTGCAAAACCTCAGGCTAGCATTCTTCCAGAGCCTGAATTCTAGCCTCTGACTGACTGTGACCCTGGGGTGGTTCCCTCAACTTCTGACTGTAGCTCCTCAGCTGTCAAATGGAAATACCTCCCCCTACCTTTTGTGTTGACCACTTACCGTATTTGCCGGCGTATAAGACGACTGGGCGTATAAGACGACCCCCTAACATTTCCACTCAAAATACAGAGTTTGTTATATACTCGCCGTATAAGACTACCCACTCTTCCGCACACCTTCCACACACCAAATAAAAGGTAAAACAATATCAGATTTGATTTCAACATTTTAATTTATATTCAAATGCTTATGACATGCAGGAAAACTGTCACAAGGCTGTATGTAATCAAACATATACATAAAACAGTGCAAGTTTATTACCGGTAAACATACCGGTAATTCACTAAAGAAAACACACTCTATAGACTGGTACCGTAGATTTTGCGAGTGTGGTAAAATCGCATAACAGCAAAGTCGCATAACAGCCGAGCATACACCCAGCAGCGCTGCTGATGCCTGAACGGTATGTGGAATGAAGTGGGCGGGCATTGGGAGGCCACTATGGCACGGGGCAAGCACTATGGGCAGTCTATCTGAAGTGTACCTGGCGTATAAGACGACCCCCCACTTGGAGGCATATTTTTCAGGGCCAAAAAATCGTCTTATACGCCGGCAAATACGGTACCTATCTCCTCCTCTAAGCCTTTCCCCACCTGCCCTGCCACATCAGGAACCTTCTGGACCACTCTGTGCTCAATGCCCTTGCAGCCCTGTGACATGGTTGAAGGCAGGGAAGGTGTCTCAGTCCCAGCTATCAGTTCCCTCTTGCAGTCTCTGTCACATTTGTGCCTTCTGCCTTCACTGGGGAGGTGGGGAGAATAGGGGATCAACTGGAAGAAGTGAGATACTTCAACAAGAATCTAATTATCTTATTAGCTATTAACAAAAGGTATGTGAGAGGGTTAAAAAGTACACGTGTAAATGTGTGTGGTGAGCTGGAATGGGGTGGGGATGGGGTAACATGCCGAATTTAGGGGGGTTTGTTTTCTAACCAAACCTCAAAGTAACAGGCTCTTCACATCGGTAATGTGTATGGTCACTGCTGCTGGGGAATACTCAAATACTGCAACGGTGGGCGGGAGGACCAGGGAACAGAGTAATACCAGGCAGAAGATGAGGAGTAAGAGTACAGGGTTACAGCATCTGAAGGTAGATGGCACGTGCAAAAATGGATTTTTCACTCCCAGTGCTCTCGAAGTGAGAAAAGGCTCTCAGTTGCTCAGTGCTGGTCCCCAATTGCCATTATAACAGGCACCACTTAAATTTGGAGAGCTCAATTGGTCAACTATTTTCATTCATTATTCACACACAAAAAAATTGAGTTTGGGACTACTAGAGAGTTGAGGAGGATGGAGATCAGAGGCTGTGAGAACATGTGACTTGCCCAAAATCATGGATGGGATATGGTAGAGCCTGGACTGGACCTCAAAGTTCCTTCCACATGCTGCTTACAGGGTCTGCCTATCTCCATCAACAGATATGGAAGGGTCTGCACACATACAGGGTCCCGTGTATAATGATCGAGTTGTAAAAGACATGTTGACACTGGACGGAACCTAGGATCTTATTCAATTAGCCTTCTCACTTACTGAGGAAGAAACCAGCTCCAGAAAGGTGAAGCAACTTGCCTAAGAGCTGACAGCAAGTAAGCCACAGAGCCAGCTGGGACTAGAGCTCAGATCTATGTACTAGGGATTCATTCCTTTGGTTTAATGAAGGCCTTGATTGCTTTAACATGTAAAGATTCTTAGAAGAGGTCACATCGACTCTTGGTCATTTTCAATCACTGTAAATGAAGCACTTGTGGACAGGGTATAACGGGAGGCACAAGAAAGCGACCGGATGTTGACAGTCTCTAAATGACAGCCTGGAGGCACCCCACGTACATCAAGCACTGGCCTTGACATCCTTCATTTTATCAATTTTGTCCTCTGTCTCACAATCTTATGGAAACACTCTGAAGCCATGTATCATGCTAGGGGGCGGGGAAGGGCCATGTAGAAAAGAGGGTGGTGAATTTAGGAAACTGTGCGGAAGTGTTAAGATCAAAACCTCAATCAAGCTTCCCCTCGCATACCATGACTTGTTGATATCTAATGAATAAAGACTTTTTAAAATTTTACATGACTCATGGGAAATGACTTATCTGGATATAAAAGTAAAACCGATCTTCTGGGACAATTTATATGTAAAATGTGTTGACTTGTCAGAAAAGTCATGACGCATTTTTGAAACATAAAACAGAAAAAACACGTCATGACTTTTCCGACAACCCACTACAAAGACTCATTCTAATTTTCAATTATACAAGGTGACAGGCTAGTAAAACCCAGAAATTCACTCACTGCATTTTGCAATGATTTAATCTTCCTAAGAAACATTTATAAGAGTTTTCCATCTGCTTTGTGTTAAAATCACCAGTCCATGACCCCATCATATTCCATTATGGGACAAAAGCACTGGACAATTCTGGACAGAAGGAAATGGTCCAGTTCCTAGGCTGATGTTGGTATTTTCAGAACTGGCTTCAAAATCTAAATATGTGTTGTATGTGTTTTGGGGGAGAATACCTGGATTTAGGGAGGGTATTACTTAATCTTTTATTTTGATGCTGTACATTTTGGGGACTTTATCTGGTGTCTGCAAAATCCCCCCAAATAAATA